ATTCACAATTTTGCCAACAGCATCTTTCAGTATTTCAACACAGAGTTTGAATTTGTTTTTCCATTCTTTCAGGTTGAGAAATGCTAAGCAAGTTCTCCCCTTTTTCTTTTCTAATTCCAGTTCTTCCATATTTCATTATAATACTTTGTTGTCTTCTCATGCTGCCCTTTGAAATCTTCTGTTCAACTCTTAAGGCCAAGGAATGAAAAGGCTCTTAGGAAATCTCTCGCGTAAGTCCCTGAAGATCCACTACCAATATCAAACCCACTGCCATATCACATTGATTCTGATTCCTAGCAATCCTACTGCTCAACGACCTGTCACACAAGGTTTCCTAAGGCTATATGCAAGCCTTATGGAATGAGGCTGCCATGTTTCTTCAGCAGCGTGGGTGGACCTATCAAGTTAGCAACCATGCACTTAACACTGTGCAAACAAGACTCTTTCCCTTGGAAAGAGAAACTAGATACTCTGTAGCTGCCTTTAACAAGCACACTCAAAACATCCCTTATTGGATAAACTAAGGTGTACTCAAAAAGTGAACCATACCTATACGTAACAACTTGGATGGACCTCAGGAATACCATCCTGGGAGAGGGGAATCCACTTGCAAACTAATATATACAGAATTATTCAATTGCGTAACATAGGCATATGGCAAAATAGAAAGGCAAGTAAACAAAAAATTCACAGGAATGAAATCCTCTCACGAGACTGGAAGAGACATGCAGAAGGCTTCAATAAAATAGTAACATTTTTTTAACTAATTAATGTTGGCATCTAGTAGATAAATCTTAGAGTCTTTTTGGTAAATTTTAAAGTATCTTTTATTCATCTGTAACATTTAATAAAACTTATTTTTTAAGATAACTTGGATACCATAAAATAGTATTGTATTAAGGTAAACAAGAACACTGAATCTTAAGTTGAAGAAGATATTGTTTTCTTTAGGGTAAATTGGTATTTCTACTGCCTTCCAGATTGATTACACCATTTACACCCCACCAACAGTCAATAAGGGTTCTAGTTTCTCCACAACCCACAACCTCACCAGCATTTGTTGCTTGCTGCTCTGTTAAATTTTGCTATTATTAGCTGAGGTGAGATGATATCTCATAGTTGTTTTGATTTGCATCTGAGAGCTAGGGATTTTGAACATTTCTTCATGTGTTTCTGGCCATCTGAATGTCTTCTTCAGTGAAGTGTCTGTTCATAGCCTGTGTCCATTTTGTGACTGAGATGTTTACCTTTATCTTGCTGTGGTGCTAGAGAACCAGAACTGCCACCCAAACAGATACATGCACACCCATGTTCATTGCTGCATAGTTTACAAATAGCAGAGAGATAGAAGCAATCCAAGTGACTATCAACAATGAATGGATAGAGAACTACGGTATATTCACACAATGTAATACGATGCGGCATTAAAAAATAAGGAATTCAAAATATTACACAAAATGGGTGACCCTGGAGGACATTATGCTGCATGAAATATCTCGGTCACAAAATGACAAATACTGCATAATGTCACTGTTATAATAAAACAGGACTGACATGGGGGTGGGGAAAAACCAAGAAAAGAGGGTATATAAATAATGAACACTGCCTGAAAACAGGAAAAGAACTCTCTAAAAGAAAAATTAGGTATTATCTGCATGACAACAGTCCAGAATTAGAGCTGCATAGTAAAGTGGACGTGGGGGCAGGGGAAGGAGGAAATTGTGCAACAATGAAAAACTTAAAGAGAAAAGTAAACTGGACAGGGGGAGGTAGGTTGCAATAATGAATGAATGGTAATCCAAATTTTCTTTAAATGTTCGTTAAAATATCAAATAAAAAAATTCAAAGCAGTTATCAGTAAAGATCACATTGTTCTTGTAAGCATATCCTTATTTTTAAATAATAAAACAGGTTCTGTCAGTTTCAAAAAAAGAAGACAATACCGAAGATCAAAACTGAAAATTGTACTGGAGAAATACTTTGGATATAAGTTGTCTTTCTACACAGACAAACCTAAGAGAAGTAAGAAGAGTTGTTAAAACAAATCCATACACTAAAAGACAAGGTTATATTAGAAAATGGTTACAGAATATGATCCAAAAAGCGATCTTAAATAAATCTGTAAAATTTACTTTTCTAGTGCTTTCCCTCTTCATCACAAATATTATCTTACCTTCTGAATTATCAAAGCAAACTATTTACTATTTAATACATCTTTCTGTTCTACCAATGTCATATATATTTTTAAACGTATCATCAATGCACTGGATAAAAAAACCAAAAAATTACAATTACTTGTACTAGACAGCATGGTACTGGTACAATGACAGACACATAGATCAATGGAATCGAATTGAGAATCCAGAGATCAACCCATCTATCTATGGTCAACTG